TTTCGACGCTCGAAATCGCCTCTACGCTTCCAGGAACCACGCTCGGACATCTCCTCGACGTCCGGAGGATCGCAACTAAGCGGCCTATACGCGCGCGCCGCAGAGCCGGGCGATCTGGGGCAGCCCCGGGCCGACGGCGTCGCCCGCGCCGTTGAGGACGGACGCGATCGACCCCTCTCCGTTGAGGAAGACGGTCGTCGGGTTGACCCAGGTCGCGTTGCCGACGAAGCCCGACGGCGCAACAACGGGGTGGTCGCGAAAGTTCGCGTAGACGCCCGGATTGTAGACGACGTGGCCGTCGACGCCCGGCGCGACGCGGTAGGCCGCGAAGTCGTAGCTGTCGACGTCGTAGGGCAGCTCGCTCTGGTAGAAGAAGATGGTCCCGTTGTCGCCCTCCCAGACGACGAGGTCCTCGAGCTGGTGCTCGACCGCGAGGCCATAGAACGTCGCGTCGTCGCCGGCGACGCGGAGGCCGTTCGCGACGGCGTTGGCGCCGTCGTAGACGAGGCCTTCGGCGTCGTGGTCCGCGCGCCAGAGCCACACGTTGTCGCCCAGGACGCCGTCCGCGTCGACGGCGACCATGGTGTCCACCTTCCCCGCCTCGGCCGCGCCTTCGCGGAAGCGGCCGGACCGCGCGTAAATGTCGAAGAGCGCCGTCCCCGTCGCCGCCGCGGCGACGGCGAGGAGCGCGTCGAGGGGCGCGGGCCCGGCTTCGAGGATGAGCCCCGCGACGCGCGCGCCGGGCGCCTCGACGGAGACCAACGCGCCGGCCGTCGCGTCCGTGCCTCGGAGCGTCGCGAGCCCCAGCCCGAGGACGCACTGGCCCGGCGTCGCGACGACGAGGGGCGCGTCCAGGTCGTAGATGCCCGGCGACAGGACGAGCGACAGGCCGGCGGCGAGCTTCGCGTTCAACGACGCCGCGTCGTCCTCGGACGCGTCGGCGACGTAGACGCGGTCGAAGCCGACGACGGTCGCGGCGCCGTCGTCGCCGTTGACCCAGCTCGGGCCCGCGGCGTCGGACCGCCGCGCCGGCACGACGAGCTCGTAGGCCGTGTCCGCCGCCCACCGCACGTAGGGCTTCTCGGCGGCCGCCGGCGCCGTCGGCGCCGCCGCGACCGCGAGGTCCGGCCCGCGCGCGGACGGCTCGTCGCAGCGGCCGGCCGGCGCGCCCGCCGCGCCGGCGAAGACGAGGGACCAGACGCCGCCGACCCAGCCCCGCGCGAAGTCGCAGGTCCGCGCGACGTACTGCTGCTGGGACCCGCTCCGGACGGCCCCGCGGACGACGCTGTCGGCGACGAAGCCGCCGCTCGCGTAGCCCGCCGCGTCGCCGCGCTCGTACTGGAAGAGCAGCAGGTCCGCGTCGACGTCGACGCGCCGCAGCGGCGACGCCTGCGACGCCGCCCAGAGCGCGCCGGCCGCGCCGGTCCACCACGCGCGCGTGGGGGCCATGCGGAAGTTCTCCGCGCCGCGCCAGAACGTGTTCAGCGCGCCGACGGCGAAGTCGGACGACCCCTCGACGCAGTAGACGCCCCGGGCGCCGACGAAGGACACGTCGCCGGGCCGCGCGCCGAGGCCCAGCACCTGCGTGTAGTAGCCCACGGGGACGTCCGCCGCGTACTCGCCGGGCTTGAAGAGGAACGCGAAGCGCCCGGCGCCGAACTGGCCGCGGTCCCCGGGGCCGCCGTTGGTGGCGTAGGCGGCGGCGACGGCCGCCTCGATGGCCTCCGCCGTCGACGTCTCGTCGAAGACGGCCACGGTCTCCGGCCAGTTCGGCGGATTCGGCTCCGCGCCGCGCGGCCTCGACGGCGCGCTCGACGGTTCGTACGACGACGGCGCGCTCGACGATGACGGTGCAGGAGACGACGGCGCGAGGGATGGTGCGGGGCTGGCGTAGGTCGGCGGAAGCGATGGCGCGAGCGAGGGGCTGCTCATCGAGGCAGCCTGGACGGTGCCGCGCAAGCGGGCGCCGGCGGTGTGGAGCCCTGCGAGGAGGAGGAGCTTGGCCATGGACATGGTTACTCGTCGCTGCCCTGTGCTTTGCATTTGTTCCATGCTCTCATGCCAAACCGGCGCTCCGGATGAACCAATCAAACGTCGAGCTTCGGGCCGAGGGTGTTGACCACCGGTATGCCTGGTAGTATGCGCCGGCTATGCGGGCTTTATGCGGGTGGTATGCGGGCCTTATGCGGGTGGTATGCGGGTGGTATGCGGGTGGTATGCGCCTGCTATGCGTCCGCTATGCGTCCGCTATGCGTCCGCTATGCGGCTGCTATGCGGCTGCTATGCCGGTGTATGCCGGGGCTGGTGTATGCCTGGTGGTCGGCCCCCTCTGGCTTCGGGGCGAACGTGTCTCTCGGCGCAAGTCTCGGCGCCGCCGGGTCCCGCCGGGGAGGCCTCCGGGGGCTTGGATTTACTCGGCGCCCCGCCTACGGCCGGGCGCCGCGCGCGGCGAGGGCGAGGAGGGGGAGGAGCCCCGCGCGCGGCGCGCACCCCGCCGCCGCGTCGACCGTGTCCGTGCCCTGGTCGACCGTCGCCTCGGAGATGGCCGTCGTCGACACGGCCGCGAAGGTCGCGGACGCTCCCTCCTCGGCCGCGGCGCTCGCGATGAGCGCGTCCATGTCGGACGCCGACGTGGCGCCAATGGCCGCCGTCACCGCGGAGGCGTCCTCGCCTGCGAGGACGGCGATCTCGTAGGCCACGGTGACGTCCGCGGAGAGGCGGCGCCGCGCGGCGGCCGCCGCGAAGGTTAGCGTGACGCGGTTCCAGGTCACGCCCGCGGCGTCGGCGATGGCCTCGGCGAAGACCTGGGCGTTCGCCTCGGCGTCGGCGAGCGACAGGCCCGAGATCGTGAGGTCGCCGGCGACCGTCGCCGCGCCCGCCGTCGGGCTCGCGACGATCTCGGGGAACGTCGGCCGCAGGTTCAGCGTCGGCGCGGGCGACGGCGGCCGGACGTAGAAGAGCTCGCCGTCGACGGTCTGGAAGTAGGTGTCGCGGCCGTGGTATTTCGAGTAGGACGAGTAGACCATGACGTCGTCGAAGGAGCCGCCGTTCTCGAAGACGATGGAGAAATACAAACCCTCCATCTGCCGGAAGTCCGGAGACCAGAACTCGACGTGGTACATGCCGTCGAGGAGGCACTCGTACTCCGTGAGCGCGTCGATGGACTCGTTGCGGAGGAGCACGGGCCGGCCCTCGATGGGCTCGCCCCACCAGTACATGGACACGGGCGAGAAGGCCGCGACCGACGGCCGGAACGTCATCTTGTAGCGGTACTTGCCGTCGGCGCAGGCCGCGGACGGGAAGGGCGTCGCCGACGGCGGGTCCGTCGCGGGCGCGCCGCCGCCGGACGACGACGGCCGCCCGCCGCCGCCGCCGCCCCACTGGGGCCGCGGCGTCGGCGGCGGCGTCGGCGTGCCGCCGCCGGCGGGCGCGGCGACGGGCGCGGCCGTCGGCTTCGCCGTCGGCGCCGGCGCCGCGGCGGCCTGGGGCGCGGCCGTCGGCCGCGGCGTCGGCGTCGGCGTCGGCACGGCGCAGATGGCCTGGACGCCGGCCATGGAATAGATCGCGTAGAGGCTCTGGTCCTCGTAGCAGTCGTGGAACGTGTTCGACACGTAGTAGGCGCCCGACACGACGAAGAGGTACTGGAAGAAGGACGTCGCGTCCGCGTTCCGGAACGAGCAGCGCGGCGCGGAGCCCGACCCGCAGCAGCTCCCCGTCTCCGCGTGGTGCATCTTCGAGAACGTCTCCTCGCCCGTCCAGTAGGCGTCGCCCTCGAAGTCGCCGACGATGGTCAGCGAGTCCTGGGAGCAGCAGGCGTCGCCGGAGCCGCCGCAGGCCTCCGCCGCGGTCGTGGGCCCCCGCGTCGGCGCGTCCGTCGTCGGCGCGAGCGTCGCCGTCGGCGCGAAGGTCTCCGTGGACGTGATCGTCACGGCGTGGAGGTTCGTCGCGTCGTCGGTGGACACGGCGACGGTGAGCATCATGACGCCCGGCGCCGCCTCGTCGCCGACGTCGAGCACGACGGAGTCGCCGGGGCCCAGCGTCGCGTCGGAGATGGACGCCGTGTCCGGCGTGCCGTCGACGAGCAGCGTCTCGGAGATCGTGCCCGTGCCGCCGTAGGTCGCCGTCGTCCAGTAGTTGCCCTCGCCGCCCTGGTCCGCCCAGGTCAGGAGCACGCCAGCGGCGCGGCTCTCGACGTAGAGGTGGCGGTAGTCGAGCGCCGTCGCGACCTCGACGGCCAGGACCTCGTCGGCGACGGCGCCGCCGTCCGTCTTGCCCAGCACGTAGGGCCCGCAGGGCGTGCACTGGGGCGCCCCGTCGACGTAGGGCGCGACCTCGACGACGTGGGCGTCGTCGATCCAGTCCATGCAGAGCTTGCCCGCGGCCGTGAAGTGCGCCGACAGGTCCGACGACGACAGCGACCCCTGGCCCATGACGTCGTAGGACGAGGCGTAGTCCGTGTAGTCGCTCGACGTCGCGTCCCACCAGGCCGTCGCGCCCCGGTCCGTCGCGGAGAACGCGGCGTGGTTCATCGCGAAGTTGTGGCCGAGCTCGTGCGCGATGACGTTCTCCCAGCCGCCGTACAAGTTGATCGCGCTGTACTCGAGGCCGACGTAGGCGATGCCCCCCCAGTAGAGCCCGTCGCAGTAGGGGATCACGGTCATGTGGAAGTCGTAGGCGGCCAGCGCGTAGCCCTGGGCCTCCGCGGCCGCGCGGCACATCGTGTCGACGGACGTCGCCGCCTGGTCGCCGTAGGAATCGAGGTAGACGTAGTCGCCGCAGGTGGCCTGGTTGAAATCGACGTTCGCGTAGACGTAGGTCGCCGCCAACGAGAGGGACCCGAAGGAGGCTTCGTCCAAATACGCGTTGACCGTCACCATCATGGCCTCGAGGGCCCCCTGGGCCTGCGTCGAGCCCGTCGTGCCCAGCAAGTTCGGGATCTCGGACGCGTAGCCCGCGTCGCAGTCGGCGTGGTACTCGTTGGGGCAGGCGATGTAGATCAGGATGCTGCGCGCGCCCGTGGCGTAGTCCGTGACGGCGTCGTCGAGGAGGTGCCGCTTGTGCCGCCGGCGCCGCGCCGCCGCCGCGCGCGCCGCGGCGGCGTCGCGCGCGGCGAACGCGTCGTCGTGGCGCGCGCCGCCGCAGAGCACGGCGGCCGTGCCGTCGCCGGCGGGCTCGCAGCGCACGGGCGCCCCGGAGGCGACGAAGGCGCCGTCGACGGCGACGCCGACGACGGGGAGCCCGAGCGCGGACGCGTGACCGAGGCGCCGGTCCGCGCCGCGCGCGACGGGCAGCGGCGGCCCGCCGCCGGGGAGCCGCGCCGTCACGGTGCGCCGGGCGCTCCCGCCGTCGAGGGGTCGGGCGGCCGCGACGACGACGTCCGCGACGCCCGCGTGCGGCGCGTCGGCTCGGCAGTCCGCCGGCAGGCGCGCGCGGCTTCCGAGCGCGAAGCCGAGCTCGACGGCGTCGTCGTAGCGGCCGTGTTCGACGTGGGAACGTAAGACCTCCAACCGCCGCGCGCAGGCGAACTCGAGGGCCGAGGCGTTGGCGGCGGAGACGACGGCGTCGTGCGCCGCACGCGACTCGAGGGGCAGCGGGCCGGGCAGGAGGCCCCGGGGCAGGGCGCCGCGGCGCGACGGCGTCTTATGGGCGTGGGTGGCGACGCGCGACGACGCGAGCGTCGAGGAGATGAGAAGCACGAGCGCGTGGGAAGAAGCCATCGTTTCAGCGCGTTCCAAGGTCCGTTACATCACGAGACTCATGATGAATTCATCGTGCTTCGTTGCCCTTTTTTTCAGGCGAGGTGTGACGACGCTAGTTTGCATCGACGCAGCCGCTGCCGAATCGCGACGCGTTGCTTCTTGCACCGTCGACGCGTTGCATGCGCCTGTGCCTCAATCTGCTCATGGCGGCCATCGCAAGCGCCCTTGCGGGGCCGCCATCAAAGGTCAAGCTCGTCGCCTTCGACCTCGACGGCACGCTCTTGAACACGGACCACCAGCTCTCCGCCGTAACGCTCGGCAAGCTGCGCGAGCTGCACGCGCTGGGCGTGCCGTTGGCCTTCGCGACCGGTCGATCCGGCCCCGCGGTCTACGAGCACGTCGCCGCGTTGCGGCTCGAAGGCGGCCCGCTGCCGTGCGTCTGCTACAACGGCGGCGTCTGCTTCGAGTTCCCGCAGCCCTGCGCCGACGGCGCCGACGCGCGCGATCGCAAGACGATCCTCTTCGCGTCGCCGATCCCGCTGGACGACGCCGCGGCGGTCGTCGCCTACGCGGCGGCCGAGGGGCTGCTGGTCCAGTACTACGTCGGCGACGACATCTTCGTGTCGCCCCGGAGCGACGCGCACCTCGACCTCGTGCGCCGCTACGGGGAGCTCACGGGCGCGACCCACGCCCACGTCGACGCCTACCCGTCGGACCTGGAGCCGGCGAAGATGCTGCTCATGACCGACGACCCGGACGCGGTCCTCGCGAAGGTGCTCGCGGCGCAGGCGTCGGGCGCGCTGCCCGCGGCGCTGACGCCCATCCGGGGGTCGCCGCCCTTCTTCGTGGAGCTGCTCCGCGGCGACGTCTGCAAGGGCAACGGGCTCAAGCGGCTCTGCGAGCTCCGGGGCATCGACGCCGCGGACGCCGTCGCGTTCGGCGACGGCGAGAACGACGTCGAGTTCGTGTCCTTCGCGGGTGTCGGCATCGCCATGAAGAACGGGCGCGACGCCGTCAAGGCCGTCGCCGACCGGGTCACGTCGTCGACGAACGGCGAGGACGGCGTCGCGCGCGCGCTCGCGGAGCTCCAGGCCGAGGGGCTCCTGCCGCGCGAGTAAAGCACGGGGGCTTACTTCTTCTTGCCGCCCCACCACGACTTCTTCGCGGCGGGCTTCGCGGGCGAGCTCGGGTCGGAGTCGGAGTGGTGGAGGTCCGCGGCCGTCGTGAGGCCGCCGGCGCCGCTCTTGAGGCCGTCGACCTCGGCCGCGAGCACGGCCGTGGCCATCTTCGCCTCGCAGAGTGCCTCCTTGAGGTCGTGGATCTCGCGGTCCTTGGCCTTGCCGTCGCGCTCGCTCGCGGCGAGCGCGCCGACCGTGTCCTCGTCGACCTCGCCGCGCCGCTCGGCGACCTTCGCGCTCAGGTCCGCGACCTTCTGCGCCTTGGCGAGCTCCTTCTGGAGGGACGCGACCTTGGCCTCGAGGCCCGCGACGCGGCCGTCGGGCGCCGCCGCCGCCGCGAGCTCGTCGCGGAGGCTCGCGACCTCCGCCTCGAGGTCCGCCGCTTTCGGCGCGTCCGGCGCCGCGCCGGCCGCGAGCTCGTCGCGGAGGCTCGCGATTTCCGCCTCGAGGTCCGCGACCCTCGACGCGTCCGGCGCCGCGGCGCCGCCGGCCGCCGCCCGGGCCTCGAGGTCGGCGATCTGGTCCGCGAGCGCCATGCAATCCTCGTCGGCCTGGTCCGCGCGCGCCGTCTCCGCCGCGAGCTGGGACCGGAGGTCGTCGCCGTCGCTCCGGAGCGCGCGGCTCACGCGCTCCTCGTTGAGGTCGCGCTGGAGCCGCGCCTCGGCGCTCCGGAGCCGCTCGACCTCCGCGCGGAGATCGACGTCGCCGTCGCGCTCGGCGACGGCGGCCTCGAGCGCGGCCGTGAGCCGCGCGACGTCGCGCTCGAGCGCCGCCGCGCGGCCGTCGCCGGCCGCGGCGGCCTCCTCGAGCTCCTTCTCGAGCGCTTCGGCGCGGTCGCTCGCCTCGGCGAGCTCGCGCTCGAGGCCCACGGCCCGCGCGCTCGCCTCGGCGAGCTCGCGCGCGCCGTCGCCGGCGGGGAGGTCCTCGGCGTTCGCCGCGAGCCGGGCCTCGAGCGCCGCGACGGTCCGCTCGTGCTCCTCCCGGTCCGCGGCGCGCGCCTTCTTGAGCGTCTCGAACGCGCCGACGGCCTCGAGCTCGCGCGAGTCGCGGATCGCCGTCTCCTCGTCGAAGGCGGCCTTCAGCGCGTCGCGCTCCGCCGCGGCGGCGTCGGCGTCGGCGCGCGCGGCGCCGACGGCGGCCGCGGCTGACGCGTCCGCCGCGGCGCGCGCGAGCTCGCCCTCGAGCGCCGCGACGGTCCGCTCGCGCTCCTCCCGGTCCGCGGCGCGCGCCTTCTTGAGCGTCTCCAGCGCGCCCACGGCCTCGAGCTCGCGCGAGTCGCGGATCGCCGTCTCCTCCTCAAAGGCGGCCCTCAACGCGTCGCGCTCCGCCGCGGCGGCGTCCGCGTCCGCGCGCGCGGCGCCGAGCGCGGCCTCGAGCGCGGTCCGCTCGAGCCCCGCCGCGCCGGCGGCCTGCGCGAGGTCGTCGCGCGCCGCGCGCGCCGCGTCGGCGTCGGCGTCGCGGCGGTCCGCCGCCGCGGCCTCGAGCGCGCCCGCGGCCGCGTCCGCGCGCGCCGCCGCCGCGTCGCGGTCCGCCCGGGCGGCGGCCAGGTCCTCCTCGAGGGCCGCGGCCCGGGCCTCGGCGTCGCCCCGGGCCGCGTGGGACGCCCGCGCCTCGAG